AGGATGCTTGTTAAGTTGATGAAGAGCCAAAAAGTTAAATCAGTGAAAGATTTGGTCTGCAGGCCGAGGCCTTGTGCAAAAATCATAATGCAGAGTACCCAAATAGGAATGTTTCGTGTGTGTCAGCATTTAAAAATTAGTGATCCCTTCTTTAGTTACCCATTTTAAAAGCAGTAAGTATATACTACTGTGGGAAGTCTTACACTTACAGCTGAGAATTATGATTACATAGTCTTTTTTCAGATCTTACATGGGAAGTTATTTTCTTTGGGCAAGTCTGACTCCAGCTGCTGATTTAGCACATTTAAAAATCTTGGCTGATTTGGATCTCAATGTTCCCCTGACAACTTTTAGTATGGTTTAGATCATATGGGAAGTGGTTGTTGAGAGAGTGAGAGAGAGAAAGGGTTCTTTCCAGATACCAATAGGAAGTGCCTGACAGCAAATCACTTGATAAAATAGCTGCTTTAACAAGAATAGAGAACCAGGAATACAGGTAGCATGTAAGTCTAACATCCCTTCGGACACTGGGAACCCAGCTTTCATGCAGCAGCAAATGGATACCCTGATGGATTTTCCCTCAGTGTGCTACAAAGATCCCGTCCGTGGAGGGGTGCCTCCTCCCTCCCATGCCACACTGCCTTTTATTTTGCATAACAAACAAAACCAGGCAACGTCACAAGCTGTCAGGAGAAGATATCTCCATCATAACACCCACCAGCGAGCGACACAGGCTGGCATGGGGCGCTTGAGCAGGTTCCCTTACAAGGCCCAGGGGAGCAGAGGTGGCTTGCTGATGATCACTAACTCCTCAAATACAGTGTCTTCTGCACTGCTCTCAGTCCAGTGGTGCCAAGAAAAATTTTATGTGGTCAGGTGCAGACATACTTGTACCCATGGTTTTTGTTCGTTGCTACTCATGTTGAAAGAATTGACTTTGGTTTGTTTTTTACTGTCAGGAATATCAGACTGATCTTTTCGTCTGAGGCTTGCATCAATGGAAGCTTCCTGGAGAAAAGGTAGCGTGCGCTGACTTAGACATAACAGAATACATTGGCTGCATGTAAACTGACCAGAAAGTGTTATTGTAGGCCACATATGTAGAGAAGATGAGTCGTATCTGAATTTGCAAGAAGCAAGTCTGTATTTTTCAAAGCCCAAGCTAAAATTAAGGGATTTTTATCCCCCAGTCCTACTGAAATTTGCTGTAGAAGCTCACATTCTAGCAGATTATCCTATAGTGACATTTGACAGATGATGATAATCCCTTTAGGCAATATTACAGCTCCCAAAGGATCCATAATAGCTCCTCCTGGCACTGAAGTGCAAGTCAGTTTAGGGTGAAACAGAGGAAGCCTACCATTAACAGTGCACAGCCACAGAAGACAGGAAGGACAGAATATTAAACAGGTCACACCACAGTGAGACTGTCTTCTTAGAACAGAATAAAATTATAGCCGCTGGAGCTGGGGCTGAACTTTCCAAGTATTTTCTGATGTTAGGATGCTTCACTATTCATTCAGTAACAAAATCCAGCTTATCACATCATTTGGTGTTCTTTTTTTCCTTTGTGATAGAGACAAACATTTCAAAACTTCCAAAGACTTCTCGGGTGTAGACTTACCAGAAGTGCAACGTTTTTATGAGAAGATCAGCAAGAAGCCAAAAGTCTTACAGGAGGTAAGGATTCAATTTAAGGATTCTCACTACGCAGATACTGAGGAGGTCTGGATTTGTGCATGAAACTTGGGAATTTCATGGCAACCTAATTCATAGATGATTTTGGCAAAACATAATTGCATTTTTAACCCTTGTCTCTTTTTTTTTTTTTTCCTCTGAAGGTGCAAAAGGAGATTGAGAGGTTACTGCCATCATTGTCTTCCTCTCCCATCTCACCTGAAAATTTTAGAGTCTACTTGGTCTTGCCTTTCCTTCTTCAGGGAGAGGATGACAGCTCTTATCATTCTCTTGGGCTTCTAGCAAAAGCCATCATGAAGCTCCAGCCAAAGGACCTGCAAACTCTTGGTAGGGTTTTATGATGATAGAACTGAATGATTTAAATACTTGATCATTTTTGGCTGTGGAGCAAGAGTTAGTATCACTGATGTAATTTGTTCCAGAGTTAAGCCAAAATAAATGCTTTCAGTAGAATTAGAAACATGGGGACTACGCAGCAAGACGCAAGAAAAAAACACACCTCTCAGTCTGAAATTTACTGGGTTTTGTAGTGCAAAATTAAGCTTTTTTTGTTGTTTAGTTCTTTTGATAAAAAGATAAAATGCAGCTTCATCCAGAAATTGCAGTTATTTGCACGTTACCTGTGACAGATACTTCACTAGCTGATTTCTTTACAGAATGCCTGTGGTCAAATCTAGAAACATCCTTTTTCAAGGAGCTGGTCATTCTGTATCAGAGGGTTTCCCAGAAAAATCTATCTCAATTTATCGTGGAAGTCAGAAGCTGCCACAGAAACCCCTTAAACCTGTACCCACATGAAACAGCTACTCTGCAAATACTGCAGATTCTTTATCAGGTGAGAAAGTGTTTGGATCCTGATTAGATAGGACATATCAGTACAAGTTAGAGTATTTTAATCCTTTTTACTTGTTGAATTCTCTGGGTTTCCTTCTTACAAGGGAACGTGGGGCCTTGTCATTTGACATTGCTTCAGGAATCTCTTTGGCTCTACACCAGCATAGCTTTGAAGGAATCCCACTCTTGAGCTGTGCCTGGGTGACCCTCTATAGAAGTGAAGAGCTGAAGTGTGTTACAGCCCCTGGCAGGGGGAGGGATGCTTTCAGTGGTGTGAGGAGTGCATGCACTGATGTGTACAGAGCGATGGATGTGGTGTCCATTACATAGCATGCCCATTCCCCTTTCTGCTGGTGAGACCCCTCGCCCCAGTAACATGCTTACAGCATTTAAAAGGCAACCCACCTGCCTGGCACATCATGGCTGCCACAGTAACGCTGCATGATGCTTTAAGAGTCCGTTACCCAAGAAATTTTCTGGGACAATAGAATTAGACCATTTTTAGCTGCATACGAACAAGGGGAAGAAAGGGGGCAATAACTGTATTCTTCTTGACAACCATCCTTTCTCCTGCTGAGATGTTCAAAGTTTAGGAAAGTCAAGAGCTCCTCATGGAGTCCTGTTAAGGGGTCTTCATTGTAAATGAAATTTGCTTTCCGGCTAGTTTATACATGGCTTTCTGAGACTTCTCACTGTTGAGTGAGCACTTCTATCCTTCCACTTCTCTGCAGGGTCTCAGAGCTGTTTCTGCAGAGAGCCCTGTTACTCCTTAGTCTTGTCCTGCCACATAGATGCATAGCTCACTTAGATCTGCTGACACCCCTTTTCATATTGCGTGTGTTGATGCAGGTGAACTCCAGAACTGGTTGCAGAGTACAAGAAAACAACTTCTATGTGCCTCAAGTGAAATTTATTATCAGATTGTGTTCGGTCATTAATACAGAAGAAGTAAGTATAAAATCTTACCAGCAGTGCAAACCACTTTTTTTTCTGTTTTATTTAAATGAGTTGATACATATGAAAGTCAGCTCTAGGCTCTAGCCAAGTACATCTCAAAGGCAATACATTTTCCCTAGTTCTCCAGCTGTTCTAAACTATGCAAGCCATTTACCGTCCCAGTATTTTAGGAGCTACAATAGCGCCTCTCCTGTGATGACCCCTGGTTCTGAGAGTTGGAGCTGTCTTCTAGCATCTTAAACGGCTCTATTTGCTTTGAACTGGTGAGCAGCGTGAAATAGCACCAGGAGGGATGGTTGCTATACTTCTTGTTATTCTGGATTTTATTATGTTTAATTAACAGAAATATTGTGAGGTCTCTTTAAAAGTTTATGTAGAAATCCTGTTGAGCATTTCAATTTACTTACATCTAAAACCAAAGGCGTGGTAACAAAAAATAATCTGTGAAATGGTTCATTTCTTGATGACATGAAGGAGTGAAAATTAGCTACCAAATGCAATTGGTGTCACAGGAAGCAGCTTGAAATAGAAATGTGGATAGTAGGGGCTTCCTTAGGCAAAAAACGCAGTTTTCTGGCAACTTGGCTGGAATTCACAGGGCAACTGCCTAATTCTTTCATAAGCTTTTGTTTGCTAAGTACCAATTTTGTAGCAATTAACCAGAGCGGAGGAGGAGGTTTGAGAAACAGTATAGAATCAAAAGTCAAATAGGACATTACCTGAAGTTGCTGCCCCATCACACTGGAGGTGTAACACTTTGAATTAGATTCTTTTGTACACTAATATCTACTTTTGGTATTACAGATAATAAACCCAACCGTTTTAAACAACAATATACCATAACCTGGGTATCCAGGACATTTTTACTATGTGTTTTGGTTTAGCTGAATTGTGGAAGATGCTATTAAAATCACTCTCTCTCTGTTTTATTCTTGGGGCACTTTAACACAAGTGTCTGCCTGCACAGACAGTTCAGATGCCTGTCTCTCAGGGTTTCCCACCCACAGAAGTGTTTAGAAGCTGCTTTTAGGAAGTGTGCCTCTGTCAGTGTAGTGTTCTTGTACACAACAAGGGCATGTTTCAGAGATACAGAAGTTTGCCAGGGTACAGACTGGCAGTTCAGTCTGCACATGCACCCCTGAACTCTTGATTTTGCAAGAGAAATCAACATGTCAGCTTCTTTCTTCCTTGTCATTTCAGATGGTCCTATGGAAGCTGACCAAATATCCATGCATCTTTGACATGCAAGACAAGATCGTTGTTCATTATACTGAACGCAACGCTCTGTCCAGCCCCTTTAGTACTGTAAGTGTGGCCAATCTTTTTACGATTTAGAAGAGATAAACACACTGCCAACAGACTGTTACTTCAATCTTCAGATACACCTATTAAGGATGGGCCACGAACAGTGGATTTTCCCAGTCAGAAGACAGTGCCTTCTGCAAGACATATGGACCCATTTAAATGACGCACCAACCCAGCAATTTAGGAGGATCTTAACGGTAAGATACTAAATAGTATTATTTGTTAGCTCTGAATATATTGCTGCAGCATTTTTTGGTTTTCAGTGTTGCTGAAGCATTGGTAGAAGGGTTTCAGTATTCACCGAGCATACAACAAAACAACTACTCATGAAAGTACTGTAAAACATGTTCTATGGGGGATGGAAAGTAAATCTGGAAGGCAGTATCTTACATTCTTATTGCAGGTAGCCATTAAGCTTTGCTGCAATAAGTTAAATTCAAGTGGCAGTGCTATTTACTGTGAAGTTGCTTTGGGGTGATGTAATAGGATTGCTCAGGAAACTGGTAATTGGCAAAGTCCATTACTATTACTGCTAGACTGACTTTAAAGGCTCTAGGCTAGTTTGCTGTACATGAAAAACCTGGTGGCTGGGGAGCCAGCCTTAGAGGCCAGCAAGCAACATAGCCACAAAAGCCATTCCTCTCAACGAGGTGCTGCCTGAAGGGAAAGGAAGGATAGTGCCAGCAAGAGAGATGAAATGCTGATTATAATGCTGCTGTCTCCACATGGCTTTAGTCTGCGGTTTCCACACAAACCCAAAGGTTCTGGCAGCTGTATTTTCAGCAGATATCGCAATGCTAGCCCTGCCCTGCAAAAGCCATTAGATGGCTAACATGGGAACAGGGCACCTGCCCAGAGCAGAGCTCAGCTCAGGGACCATGTACGGTATCAGTCACAAGGGCTGTCAGAGTCTGGCACCACACCTGTGCAGCAGGAAATACCAATCTCAGTGCCTGATTACCCAGTTCTGGTTCTTTCGAAGTGAGCCTTCTTGCCAACCAGAGCTGTCAAAGCTTTTCCTTCCTGCACACTTAGGAGAAGAGTCACAACGGTTCCTAGAGCTACCTTTCCTTCCCTCTTCCTCACTACAGCCACTGAAAGAGGTGTTTATTTACAGAGGCAATATGGCTTGTGCTCTGTACTGTCCTCTGGATCTGGAGTCTCTGTTCACTGATTGTACAAGGGGCCCCAACAAACAGCTGCACTTAGGTAGTCAGCCTTCGAATACACCTCTTGCGGGCACTGCCTTTGATACTGTGCCCAACAGCATTATTTGCCCAGCAGCAGCCCAATCAATTTGACCACATTATTAGTGTCCCACCAAGAGACACTGAGATCTGCAGTATTTACAACTTGGTGCTGCATTTCTGAATTTTTCAGCAGGTAAGGGACATTGGTGTGTCTTGTGTTGCAGATATAACCCACCCAATAACAGAACATAAAAAAGAAATCCTTGTAATAATAGATTATCATAGCATTAACCTCTCCCCTTCATAGCTCTGTCCTGTGAAGACATTTTGTCAGACAGTACCGAGTACATAGTTCTTTGCACCCCACACCTTCATAGTGGTCTGTCGCTCCACTCTCTAGTGTTGCCGTAAATGAAAAGAGGGAAGGTTGAGGTATTTAGCAGAATTATCTTCTGTTCCCCCTCTAGTGAGGAGGATAGTGCTAAGGGGAAAGACACTTTACATACTTAAACAGCATTTGTAGCTGCCAACTTGGCTACCAAATCCTGGGCTCAGTTGGAGTTGTTTCTCCTCTAACCTGTCAGGTGACGCCTCTTTAACAAAGATGACCCAGCCTGGCTATCAAACTTGGGCACTCAGAGTCACTTAACAAATAGTACAGGGACATACATCTCCTAAGCAGACAATGGAATATGTTGGAAGCCACTTTAACAAAACCCCCAAATGCAGAAGTACATCTTCTCTGCAGTGCTGTCATCTCCCCATCTTTTTGTTTTTTTAAAAAAAAAAGGCAAGCAAGCAGCTACTGGACATACAGACATGAGTATCATCCAACTAAATTTCTTCATTTAAGTCAAGTTTTGTTATTGAACATCAGCCCAATTTATTTTATGTTCTTCTGACAGTGAGACTGATACATTTCAACACACACATCAGCTCAAAACAAAACTAAGCCTCATAATTCAAAGAAAGATTCATATCACTGCATGTTGTCATTGCTTATTATTTAAGATCAGTTATTTCAGTCAGGCTACAGTTCTTCCTTGTAAAAATGATCACCACCTAGAAGATTTTCATTAGTGCCACTACAAACGCACAACACTCTTGAAGGGATATGCTAGAAGGAATTAGTGCTTCTTGTTATTCCTCCTCTTTATCTGCCTTAGCAGTAATTAAGTAATAGGCTGCTGCAGAGGACTTCATACAGTTCCAGATACTACTAGGAAGATGACGACAGTCACTAGTGCCAGAAAGGGAACTCTCTCAAATCAACTGCAATACCCAATGAGACTAAATAAACCACGTTGCTTTAGAGAAGCCCAGGGATTATCAAGTGCATCGCGCTAGTTGTGCCTAAAAAGCTTAATCCCCATCCAGGTCCATAGGTGGAAGAATACATAAACCGGTATTGTAACAGGAAGGAGGAGACTGTAGAAACATAAGCTGTTTGTGCTGGTGCAGCCCTGCGGGAAGGTTTCGTCTACGCTGGCTGAGTAAAACAAGCCTGCTAGGGATAGGAGGGGAACAAGTACAGTCAGGGTGGGCAGGGAGGGGAGCATGCCTCCTCCAGCCATCGGCCCCAGTTTACCCCTGTGGCTGGTGGGTCCTCAGGGCTGCTTCGAGCCCTCAGCTGGGGGCTTCTTCCGAGTCGTCCTGGCAGCCTCCGGGATCATGTTCGGGATGCCGTCGATGATGGGGTATGCAATGCCCAGCTCCTCGTTAATGAGCTCGTTGGTAGCTTCCTCGTACCTGGCCGGGCGAGTCAGGGGAAGAAAACAAAAAAGAACCAACAAAACAAAAAGAGGAGTGAATCACCGGGGTTTGCCCTTTGGCAGCCCCTCTCGCTCGACTCGGGGCAGCGGCAGGCCAAGGGCGGGCAGCCAGAGCTGCTCTCCCGCCGGCCCCCGCCCCTCACCTCAGCGGCCGCTTGGAGAGCGGGCACACCAGGAAGCGCAGCAGGGACGGCTCTAGCGGCTGCGGCCGCCCCGAGCCCGAGCCCGAGCCCTGCCCCGGGTCCGGGTCCTGCCCCTGGCCCTCGCCGCTCGCTGCGCGGCCACCGGCGGCCCCCCCCCGCAGCA